TTGAAGATTAACAGCAAGTTACGCTGATCAGTCCTGAAAGTGATTGTAATAGAATCTTTTCAAGTTCCTCCAATTCTGAGATCCTCATCACCGCACCCTATAGCACGACACCTCGATTGATTGAAGTAAATTGCATTGATGTGTGTTTGTTAATAGTATTGAATGTATTGTATGTATTGTGTCTGTATATGTTTTAGCAGTTGCATGTTGTAGATTAGAAATGATTAGGGGTTGTATTCGGTTATAGGGATTCGCAATGTCTTCGCTAAGCTCGTCGGCCCTGCCAATGGCGCCTCCTGCAGCCCTCGGGCCCGAAATTTTGAGGGCGCTAGAGGTCTGCCTGTTATATCAGCAGGGCCTTTTCCGCGTGTACCTAATTTATATGAAGGCACTGTGCCAACCCTCGCACTCTATTATCAGTGAGCTTGTGTCAAATCTGTCCACACTATTCATCAGTGAAGAAAATGGCCAAAACGTGAGAATAAATGAAAATATTCCTACTATTACAATTGATGCATTACTCTATTTTTTAGTGGAGACAGTTAATCTAGTGTCTCCGATTAAGTAAGGCAACTCGTACGATGAAAATATTTCGGCCCAATGCGACCAGCTCGAGGTGTTCGCCATAGCGATGGCCCGCGCAATGGACGCCGTCCTGCAGCCGATGACCGCCTGGACAGAACCCTGGAGGCCTTATCCACCCTAAGAAAAATCATTAAAAATGCCAACTTCGCCGGAATTATTCTGGGTAAAATTTCCCACGAACTCTGGACGAAAGTCTTCAGCACGAATTACGTACATGAATTTCTACAAGGAAATGAAGAGAAGTGTGCCGTGTGCTTGGAGGTGAGGCTGACAGTGGACATTAATTTCGTCATCTTGGCTGGATGCTGTCACGTATTTTGTGAGCCTTGCATGACTCGCTGGCTGGAAAAAAGTGAGTACGTTTAGCCTTTAAACTATGGCTCTTGTTGCTTGTCTCAACTTGAACCGTATTTGTGAATTCACCAGGTTTTCGGCACATGACTTCGTGAGTTTTCCGATAACTTTTTCATTGTTAGTCATTTGTGTCGAATATGGTTGGTCTTTTATCTTCATTCTATGTTGAACTACGCAGTCAACCTGTGTTGCGTTTGCACAAAATTTCATCAAAAGTATATATACTGACAGATGTCAGACATTCACCATTCAAATTTACTGTTCACAAAGTCTTATATTGACATCATGTTTCGAGGTCAAAGTTCACACCTGATGTCTTTCGCAGGGAATTGTGCAATTAATTTAAAAATTTCCACATTAATCTATTAGTTTTTAGAGAAAATAATTTTAAACTTATTTTTAATCAAAAAATTCCCATCCTGAAGCCTAATCATGGCTATATTTTATTTTATTTTTCATTAGTGAATTGAGCCTATACGCACCAGTCTTGCTTTATGTTGATACGAATCCCAGCTAACATCAAAAGCAGGTAACTAACAGTGAAATCTGTTGTTATAATTATCAGATATATTACTATTGGATATACTATATTTAACAACATGCCGATGACAAATTCTCCCTCATGAATGGCCATCAAATGCTCAGCACAGCAGATGCTCTTGTAGCTCCTGATTTGGAATTAGTTATTGCGTCATCGGTTGCAACTATGTCAAATTCGCCTTATTCAAATTCGGGAATTCAAATTCGCCAGGGGCCACGGGTATAAACTAAGAAAAATGCGCTGCAATTTCTCCCACGCGACATTTCTTCTCGCTTCGAATCACTGACGTGTGGAACAGCCTCCCCGATGACATCGTTGGCGCTCCAAGTATGAACGCGTTCAAGAACAGACTAGATAAAGCCATGGAAAAATATATGTTCAGATTTGAAATGCCTAGCACCATATCGAACCCGGTGGAAGTCTAGTAGCTACTTCAAACTATCGTCAGTCAAGAAAAGATCCGGTCAAAGGACACGATTTTAGATCTTCTGTGAACAAGGCACGAAAAGGAAAAGAATCGGCGACAAACCACATCAGACCAACACTTGAGCGCCGAGATCACTATGTTATATTATGCTCCTGCATATCTTCGTCTAGTCTGTTCATGAAGGCGTTCATAGTCGGAGCGTCAACGATGCTATCAGGGAAGCTGTTCCACTTGTCGGTGATTTGAAGCTGTTCCACATGTCGGTGTTGATTCATGTTTCAAATTATAGTAATCCTTCGGGGACCTTGTATAAACCATGAGTATACTTGTATACTTCAATGAGGTCCCAACGCAGACGTCGATAACTGGGGCTTGGAAGCTTCATAATCTTTAACCTTTCTTCATAGGACTTGCCATTCAAGCCTGGAATTATCCTTGCTGCACGTCTTTGAATATTCTCCATTTAATTCTTGTCCTTTTCAAATCTCGGTGACAACACAACGTTTCCAAACTCTAGTGTCGGGCGCACGACAGCAACAAACCACTGCTTCATCGCTTCCGCATCTAGGAACTCGTAGGAGCGTCTGATTAGTCCAAGAAGTTATTTCGATGTATTAGCTTTCGTTTCAACATGCTTAGAAAATTTCAGCTCCTTGTCGACATAAACTCCGAGATCTTTTTCCACACTAGACTTTTCAATCATTACTCTCTCGTTGTAATCATGTCTTCTCATACTGTAATCTTGCTGCTCATTGTTCTTCCCGAGGTGAAGTGCTTTACACTTGTCAGCATTAAACCGCAGCTGCCACGTTTCAGCCCAGTTAACTAAACTGGCAAGATCATCTTGCAATTGCACTTTATTTTACGCATCCTTCACTGTCTTTTACGTCGTCGGCATACATGGAGCACACGCTGGACACTACTTCTGGCAGATCGTTTATAAAAGCAACGAACAAAATAGGCCCAAGAATGCTTCCTTGTGGCTGCACGCCACTGCGTACCGATGCCCAGTCTGACACGTTCCGTTAATACTGACACGTTCTCGTCTACCTACCAGAAGGCCTCTGATCCATTGGAGTACGTTTCCCTCAATTCCCAAAAACTTCACTTTACGTAACAGTGCAGAGCACTGTCAAATGCTTCGGCAAAATCGAGATACAATGCATCCACTGGCTCCCTTTCGTCCAGAAGGCGCGAGTCCAATCGTTCAACGTAGACAATAAGTTAGTGGTGCAGGATCTACCGGCAATAAAACCATGTTGACAATCTGATAGGAGATGGTGAACAGTCAATGGATCGATTATCCTATCCCTCACAACAGATTCCATTACCTTACAAACCACACTTGTCTGACTGACAGGGCGATAGTTACCGGGGCTACTTTTGTCACCTTTTTTTAAACAATGGTGTTACTATTGCTTGAGAAATGACTTGGACTGATCAGACGCTCTTACGAGGTCCTAGACGCAGAAGCGATGATGACATGAAGCTGTTGTTTGTCGCTGTCGTGCGTCCGAACCTAGTGAAACGCCGTGTGGTTACCACGAGATAAGGACAAAAATTCATTCGAGAGTGTCCAAGGACGTGCAACAAGGATAATTCTGGGATTAAAAGGCAAGCCTTATGAAAAAGGTGAAAGATTATGAAGCTCCAAACCTCTGCGTTATCGACGTCTGCGTAGTGACCTCATTGAAGGATACATGTATACTCATGGTTAATTAATTAAGGGAGCGTCTGGGTCAATAACTATCTTGGTTATTTACCGACGGATCGCTTTGAAACTTGGTCCACATATGTAAAACAGAAAAATAGACGGCTTTTATTCATGTAAATTTCCGAAAAAAAATGAAAGCAAACGTGAAATTCTTAGAAAACGGTCAAGAAGAGGGTACCGTAGAAAACTATCTCCTCCTAGGATTTTCAAGCTACAACATCCAGACGCATATCATTCGATGCGTAAAGACCATATCTATCGATTGGTTGTGCTTCTTTTGTCGAAATTCGAATTTTTGTTGGTGGGTTTTTCGCAAAATTTTCGAAAATTTTTCGATTTTCCCTTTTTTCAAAATATTTTCAAAACTATAACGAAATTGAAGAAAACTTTTACCAATCTCTAGATCTTTTATTTGCGAATCGAAAGGTATATCTCTCATCACTGTAGCTTAAAAACTCTAGGAGGAGATAAGTTTGCAGCGACAATAAGTGTGAATGTTCAGTATAGAGCGACAAAGTCCCGAGCGCCTCGAAATAGGCATTCAAGGTGGTAAGGAAACAAGACTAGACGTTACTTGAGCTGAAATTCAGTCAAAGATGGTGGGAACGACTGCATGAGAACCATCCCTCATGACAGCAGCCGGGTAACTAAAGAGCAGCGTCTTCAGACCGTCTATTTATGTGCCCGGCCGGTAATTTCCTGCAATCCTAAATGTTAAAGAACTCCACCGCCCCTAACCCTTTTGCGATCTGTCGTGAATGCATGAATCAACGTACAGAGATGGTTTTGGGTCAATGGTCAAAATTGTCGATTTGGGACCCATACGCTCCCCTTATAGAAGGTCCCAAAAGGATAACTAGAATTTGAAACAAAAACCAACACTAGGTGCCACGGCCATAAACTAAAAAACTGCGTTATAACTCATCCATGCGTTAACATTTCTTCTCGCTTCGAGTAATGCCACTGATATTAATTATATTGTTAATCATAATTGTCCGTAAATGTTTTCAATACCGTTTATTTATAAGTAGTATGAAGCTTGTGAGCCGAAAAAGAAATATTATATTTTCTTTGACTGAAAGATGTACCATTTACAGAAAAATTAAAAACTACTTAACTCACAGATAAATTGGTAATATACAATGCAAACATGCTACTAAAGCAAATTACATATACAAATAACTACTTCAAATAAAATTTCTTTGACCATCTCTGCCTACAGTGGCTGAAACCGTCAAGCAGAATCTGCTTTTATCAGTCAGGCTGCACATACTCAAGATATTCTCACGCTTCCGACCACGTCTACATGTATCAGCAGGTAATATCTGCACCGGCTTCACATATAATAAGGAAGAATTATTTCGATCACACTATTTGACCGGAGTACCATCAGTTAAGGTGACATGCGATCTCTCATATTGATAGCGCTCTTTGCACTATGCAGTACAGTTGCTGCCCAAGGTGAGGCAGACGCATTTAAATTTTTGAGTAATAATAATTTTTTCCAGTCTGATGAACTTTTAATGCGCGTACAGAAATTTTTACAGCTTAAAAAATTGATCGCAGCGTCATTGTTACATAATACTAGACAAATTTTGACTAAAGAACTTTTTAATGAAATCAGAAATGAAAATTAAGAACATTTTATTGTAAATACAACGTTCAAGTGTTTTGCATCAGCGTAAAACTTTTGAAAATTAAATATATGGTTCAATAAAAGTTTTACGCGTCTACCATGACCTCCATTTATTTCACAATTTTTGAGTGAAGAAATTTCTGTTTAAATAGGAAATCATGAACAATTTGATTCTAATTACGAAACCCCATTCCAAATCTTATAGGGTGTTGAGTCAGCGAAAATCAAGTTTGAAATACTCGATCATGGCTCAATTCAAACCCCTCATTTAATGAAATTTTATCCAGGCTGGTCGCATGCCCCCGACTGCGACGCTGACCCTGATCGTCAGTTCTACCCACATGACGACTGCAACAAGGTGAGAGGATTCAGTAGATGGCATTTCTATCAATCTCCGAGTGAATCTTCAGTTATTATACACCCTTTCTATTCGACATCGGCACAATTGTAGTAAATCAAAAAATATTTGAACGAATTCTTTGATTTCAAATTTTCCGGTAAACAGTATTGGTGGTGCATCAACGGCGAGGCGACGCTGATGCTGTGCAGCCCCGGGACGTACTTCAACTCCCAGACGTCCCGCTGTGACTTCCCCGAGAACGTCGACACCAGCAACTGCCACGTGTGGACGTGCGAGGCGGACGGCATAACTTACGCTGGCGCGGATTGCAACGAGGTGTGATTACCAGCCCTAAGTCTTCCTTAACAGGACACGCGTATGCTTGAAATAAATGAATACAATTTTAATAAGGTTTGATCATCAGATGTAATATTCAATAAGGAATGAAGAACTTCTATCACGTATTCGTAGCACAACTAAGTATGTAATATAAATACTTAGCTTAATTGGCATTAAGCTTATCACTGTGGCACAGATGCGAATACCAGTGTGAGTCTCCACAGAGTAAGCCAAATCACTCATTGGGAAAATAAATCTCTTATATATAATTTTTTAACTTGATTCTCAATATGTTCTTATGATGATTTTAGGACTTCTCAGTCCATGGCCAAGCTGATGCTCCGCCTTCGTCGTCCTCTGTTTCCATGTCGTCGATAGGCAAGTCACACCAGCCTTGGGTCCCAGATGTAACATTGGACGTGTTCCTTGTATTTGACCTCCTTTGGGCCAGCTGATGCAAAATGCTGTTGCTTGTCACTTGCTGAGGGTAGTTTCCCATAACTGGACAATCCGGGATCTTCTTCGGAAACTTATCCAGTTGTCTATTGGAAATTGCAAGTGTATACGCACCTCCTCTCAGCACCTTTGATAAGGCGTTAAACAGACTTGGTCCTACCACGACAGTGATCCTTCACGAAGAGTCTGTACTGTGGCCGTGGCACGGTTATTGAATGGGGGAATCCTGCACAGTTTCCCCCTTGTTTCGTTGTAATCTGTCACTATTCTGGAGATCTCACATTCATAGTTGGGAGCCAGTCCAATTATCACTTCCAAGTGTACAGTATGATATGCCTCTCTCCTCTCCAGTGAGTACAGTCCCAGGTGTTTCAGCCTTCCCAGTAGTTTAGGTCCAGCTCCCTCATATGTTGCTGATCCTGTACGTGAAGGTCCACAATCATCAAGATCCCACCCTCGTCGGCCATCTTCATCCGCACGCCAATCTTGTGACGCGCTCTTTGTGGGAAGAGCGCGTCGATGTTGGCCAGCAGAATGCCAGACTCTTCCTTTCTTGGTGTTCTTACCTACTGCGACACTGATCTGCCAGGCGTCCTTGGCCCATCAGCTACTTCATCTGGAGTTTCATTAGTTCCAACTGATACATTTGGTATTGCAATTGTTCCTTCATGTCTAAAAAAGCCCTGAGGTTAACCTCTTGCCCCCGCTTGCTTCTCTGTCCCAAACACATCGGTTACTCACTGGAGTAGCTAAATCGTCTGTCCTTCTCCATTGACTGCGCTCATTTCCATTTCGTTCATCACCGCTCATTCCAACGATGTTTTCCTCAGCGTTGTTCTGTCTTCCCTGAACGCGAGGCGCGTGTTGTGCGGTGGGCATTGCTATTTACTGTGAGGGCATATCATTGGCACTCGCTCTATTGACATTTTCTCTGCTATTTTCTATTGATTTGATGTGGTGGAAACGACAGTTTTCTTTGGTGCAATCCTCTCTGTTTGTGATGCACCATCACAGTTCATCATCTGATTAATTTGATTTAATGTTAAAGGGAATATTGGTTGTTAAGATTGTTTTCAATTCAATTTGCAGTACAACAGATGTGAGCAAGGAGAGCCTGTACAGAAGTTTTGTGCGGACGGGCTCTATTACAACGCAGACACCGGCATGTGTGACTTCCCAGCCAATGTCGACACGAGCACCTGCAACGGCCCAACCACCACATCTACTACCACAACGACGCCAACTACCACGACAACACCAACAACCACGACCACCTCTCCAACGACCACTACCACTTCGCCAACTACCACCGCACGCACGACTACCACCAGTGGACCAACGTGGCCGAAACCTCCCGACTGCGACGCTGACCCTGATCGTCAGTTCTACCCAAATGACGACTGCAACAAGGTGAGAAGATTCGGTAGATGGCATTTCCATCAGTTTCTGAGTGAATCTTCAGTTATTATACACCCTTTCTATTCGACATCGGCACAATTGTAGTAAATCAAAAAATATTTGAACGAGTTATTCGATTTCAACTTTTTCCGGTAAACAGTATTGGTGGTGCATCAACGGCGAGGCGACGCTGATGCTGTGCAGCCCCGGGACGTACTTCAACTCCCAGACGTCCCGCTGCGACTTCCCCGAGAACGTCGACACCAGCAACTGCCACGTGTGGACGTGCGAGGCGGACGGCATAACTTACGCTGGCGCGGATTGCAGCGAGGTGTGATAACCAGCCCTAAGTCATTCTAAACAGTGCACGAGGGAGCTTGAAATAAATAAATAAATACAATTTTAAGAAGGTTTAATCAGCTGATGTAATGTTGAATAATGAATGAGGAACTTCTATCATGTGTTCTTGGCACTAACTAAGTATGTAATATAAATACTTAGCTATAATTAGCATTAAGCTTCGCTGTAGCATAGATGAGAATATCAGTGTGCGTTTCCACAGAGTCAGCCAAATCACTCATTGGTAAAATAAATCTCCTAAATATATACATTTTTACTTTATTCTCACTGTGTTCATCACCTGATAAGTTTGATTTAGTGTTTAAGGGAATATTGTTTGCTAAGATTGTCTTCAATTCAATTCGCAGTACTACGAATGTGAGCACGGAGAGCCTGTACAGAAGTTTTGTGCGGACGGGCTCTATTACAACGCAGACACCGGCTTTTGCGACTTCCCATCCCATGTCGACACGAGCACATGCAACGTCTCACGACTAGGATTAAAAATTATGCAAATTAGGTGAAGAACTCCAGTAAAACCGAAAAAAACATGAAAAATAGTGAATTGGCCATACAGTTCAACGTAGCCTTGAATAGTAGTTATGTAGGTTATATTGGTTATATCAGATATAGTAATCATACGGATGACCATACAGAAAGAATAATTCATACGGATAGTAATATAGATAGTATTGATCATATGGATAGTCATATGGGCAATGGTAGTCGTATGGGTAATCATCGAAAGCACGAGGAAACCATTCAAATATCCAAAAATTATTCACGTTTATTTAATAAGTTTGAAAATTTATTTTCCTTTCAAGCGAATAGAATGATCGAATCTATTATGTGCATCACTTCAAGAATCGACGTGACACGACAATACCTGCAAAACATAAGCAAAATACAATGATTGCTAACAACATGGTTTATTGACAAATAGTGATACATGGGCGCCAATATTCAATGTATGCGCATTCATTTAATTTAGTGGTCAATGAGAATGTAACAATGATCATCGCTGCACTGCACCAGCGGCGTCACTAAGGTTTTGAGGACGAGGGGAGGGAGTCCCGAGAAGACGTACAGATGTGAGCGAACTTTTCATTTCACAAACGGCCAATAACTACGGTACAGTACAATAAAAAACGCAGGAAGTACTTGTGTTTACATAATTTGAAGCAAATCCAGGCAAATGTTAAATTTTTCAGCATTTTCAAAATATAATATCAATTGTAATAAATTAGCATGACATTACTAAAAAATATAAAAAAATTAGGGAGGCTGAATCACGCTACTACTCTGCACTCGATAAAATTCAGAATTTACCTATCAGGATACAGCCCCGACTGTTCAAAGAAAAGTCGTTAAACTCACGAGTATTTTTCAACTCAGAATATCACAGTTCCAACTCGTGTTCAGCGATCCTCGAAGTTTGATCCTGAGGTGCACAATAGCTAGTGTATTCTACCCTGTCTCTTATACACATCTAGATGTGTATAAGAGACAGATCTATTCCTACCCGGAATTAGATTCAAGGAGTTAAAGCGCATTCCGTACCCCACGTGGGGTCGGCTTCGTATCCGCTATGTACTCGAGTCAGTCGAGTGGGGAGCACCGACGCACGTTTCCGGTGCTTGCCGATTCCCGAGGGTATAGCGGCGGTAAGCAACTGCCGATTGCACCAATGGCGGTTGTCTGGTAGTGTTTTCCGCCGAAGCGGCAACGTCTACCTTACCTGAGTTGGTCTGTCGCCCAGAAATTAGGCTTTCTGGACTTGCGCGGAGTACCTGGTGCCTCTTACGAGTACGCAGGTCCAGGAACGGCACGTAAGACAAATGTATTACGACGACGTTTTCCTCTCCAGTAAACTAAGGCTATACCTCAAGCAATTCGCACGGGGATGCGAAAGTTCGAGTGTATTGGCTTCAGAATACGCTATAGACCTGATTAAAGGATTTGATCGCCCTACGACAGCATAGCTAACGGGCTCGTCAGCGGCTGAGCGAAACGGGCTAAGGCTATTTTGTGCAGTGCTTATGCAAGTAAAATGAACCTTATTAAGTAATCACAGGCGGAGCAAGAAAGTAATGTCACTGAGTCACCGGAGCACTGAGTCACGCCCAGCGTGAGTCAGCCGGGCTGACGCCCAGCGACTCTCGCTCACAAGCGCAAACACAAACACTGCACTCGCGAACTGGTAAACAGTTATTAGAACTGTGGTTATATAATTTAACACATAGCATTTTTTAAGGCGAAAGCCTTACAATTATCAAATGATAATTGCGGGGAAATGTGTCCTAAAACTCACTTGGTTGTACGACTGGATATGGTGATGCAAAGCAGTCACTAGAGGAGCTGCGTAGCAGCACGGACGGTGTCGTAGCAACGATTGAGAGCATGCAGACCGCGCCTGCAGGGCTGTGGCACCACTCAAGGTCAACGGTAGAAAAGCTGCCAAAGGCGGCTTTCTTACTTTTTCTTTATTGCTACGATTAAATTCGAGGAAGAAACAATCCAAAGATCAAATAGAGCTTTTGACATGTTAAAAGCAAACAGCCTAAAACGGAGTTTGCTCTAATTTAAAGCACTTTACACGTTATTTTCGACCGGTATTCATTTATTCATGGAGTGAAAAAATTTTTTGTATGCAATCATGCAACTCGAGTTGGCTATTTGTGGTTCCCTGCACATCGGAGTGATGTGAAACAAGAGTAAAAGCAATGATGCTGCTGTAAGCTGACTTGCAAATTACTAAAGAAATTCAAGTCTCATTCGAATCAACACTGTGAGACTACATAAAGGGGAGCTGAAAATACATTAAACTTCAGTTAATTAGTGACTCTTTTATTAGATTTGCACACAGTGATATCAGAGAAAAAACAATCGCCCTAAATTTAGTACCAGTTTAGCCTGAGCATTGCGAGGACATTGATATAATATCGGTTTAGATCATTTCTTCATGAAGCCTATCATAGATAAATAATTTTTGTCTAAATTCAAATAGCATTTATAGTAACAGATCCATGAGGCATCACTGTAATTGAATACTGATCCAAAACCAGAAACTTGATTGTTTACCATCAGCGTGTTATTCTGAATGAAAAACAAGGAATTTAAAAGCAAAGAAAACGCCAAGAAAATTCACCATATCGATATTGAAAACGTTTCGGAGTCCAGCTCCATCATCAGTTCGACTAAACTAAAAATGAATAAAATCACTTTAAAAGTCAAAATTCAAAGACAGACATAAAACCTAANAGAGAGAAAGGGAGGTTGTGGCACAGCAGTGGGGATTGTTAGAGGGGATGGGTGTGTGTGTAAATTTTATGATTCCTATTCTCATATCGTCTCGGCTACATGACAAAATTCGTGCTGACTCGCATTACGAGTATTCAACATCTACACATCATTGACTGTGCAAGGTAACATGTTATGTAAATTAAACTTTTAAGATGCACTTCCATTCGTTGGGGTCAAAACATCGGACCAAATTCAACGACAATGACATGTACATCTTCTGGTATCCAGGTCACGAAGTAACATTTACTTCGTCCAGTAACTTTCATCTGACCTTGAACTTAGAAGAAGTTGGAATGCCTTCTGTTCAGTATTATTTGATCGTCACCGACTTTCAATTGATTGCATTTTTATCAATCACAGCATTTATTCTTTATTATTTATTTATTTATTTAAACAGCATTTATGAAAGAATAAACTAAAGTTTATTCTTTTTCCTCCCATAAACTTTGCAAATTGACTAAAGAAATTTTCTACTCTGCTGTTACTAACGTAATGAATAAGACTGTCTGCTTGGTCCTTCACTCTGTTTAGAATCTTCCTTATGGCTTGAAAAACTCCTGTGATGTGGTGATGAAAGGCACAATTTTTTCGATTTCTTGTGAGAGAAACGCACGTCGCCAGCGTTCTAGCACACGAACTAACAATGAAAGGCTGTAATTTAAACGAGCCAGGAGGGTAAGGGGTAAAGAGGGTAAGGAGGGTAAGGAGGCTATCCCTCTACCCCCTAGGAAGAGGGTAGACGATCGACTCTGCCACTTAACGCGAGCTAATTTATGACCGCTAAGGAAAGTGTCACGACAACGCACGACACTTTGACATGCTCGGGGCCAGGTCCCAAAGAAAATGGGAAATCTACGATTCAGGAGTGATGAAAAAGTATTTTGTTAGCTAATTTCTACAAAATAGAGGGTGACTTTAATACCGATCAATAGAGAATAAATATTACTGCTTCCTCATGTCTCAAAAATTTAGGTAAGTCGCATCTCTCGCAAGTAAAATGAACATCGATGTGCAACATTTTACTCTATCATAACTGATGTTATACAAAATTTACATATATTTTGTAACTGTAGGGAATTTATAAATAAATAGCTGAATAAACATGAAAAAAATTTGATCGATATTTCATTTACGAGCGGAGGTATAACGACTATACGTAGTGATAGATTCTCATAGGGATCCAGCCAAGCCTGCCTGAGGGCTAGAGGGTCTCAATCTAAACCTTAAGGTTTATATTGAATAATTTATAATAATAATAAATATTATTAATAATTTTCGCAATAATTTTCGCAATAATAATTTAATAATTGCATTTAATGTGTTCACGAATACAAAAAAACATCAAGATTCAATTCTTTCATAAAAACTATTTCAGTGTATGCAAATTTTCACTGCCTTCTTATGTAACAATTGATAGATGCTTAAGATGTTCGTGCTGCACTAAAGCATTCGTCTTTACTATGTTCTAATCATCAATATTCAAAGTGAACCCAAAACTGGCAATGAGGGAAATATTTTCGTTTGAGGAACGAAAACAATCTAATTAGAGCTCGGAGTTTTAGGCTGTTTGCTTTTAACATGTCAAAAGCTCTATTTGATCTTTGGATTGTTTCTTCCTCGAATTTGATCGTAGCAATAAAGAAAAAGGAAGAAAGCCGCCTTTGGCAGCTTTTCTACCGTTGACCTTGAGTGGTGCCACAGCCCTGCAGGCGCGGTCTGCATGCTCTCAATCGTAGCACTGTCCGCGTAAAGAAGTTTGGGGAGGAGGTGGTCTCAGCACAGCCTAAAACTCCGAGCTCTAATTAGATTGTTTTCGTTACTCAAACGAAAATAATTGGAGCAAACTCCGTTTTAGGCTGTTTGCTTTTCTACCAAAGTCGCCCTTTAGGGTCTGGGGGAGGAAACTTTCAGACTCCCATGAGAGGTAAAAGAAGCAATCGAGATATTTAAACCAAGGTTTACTTAATTAGTGATGAAAAATGAAGCAACGTAATTCTTACAAGGTAGTGTTTATGTTACATTACAGCGTTGTTTTAAAGTTGATAAGAGATTGGTTTGCAAATTGAATCGTCGTTGATATTATGTTGATGAATGACCGGATTACATTGTACGTGTTTTATCGTGACAGTCACATTATATTAGCATCTTATTATAAATAGCTGCATGAAATAGATATAGACGCAATATTTACGACCCTTTTTTTCAATTACCTTTAATTCTCTAGAGAAAATCCTTCAACCTTCCTCGACCCCGGGACCTTCAGCTCGCGCACGATGCCTTTGCCGACGCTGACAGGGAGAACTCATTTGCACAATAAATTATCCATAACCTTTTTGAAAATCATTTCTGTGTGTAAATTAAATAGATATAATTTATTTCTTTTATTATTTACAGAATTAACAAGTAGAGATGCGGAATGTTTGAAATCACCATCACATACCGTCACCACTTGCAAGGGTGCGCAGGGTGTATCACGTATCCTGCTGAATGCT